TATATTTTCATGAATATATTCGTGTTCATGATCCTACCATGCAAGTGATATGCACCTTCTACGTGTTATGATCCGCATACCCCAAGGTGAAAATAATTACGATTCTTTCCAGTGATTATTGTAGTTTGAGGAGTTAATGTATTCACTATGTGTTAATACTTTGTTCTGGTTCTATATTAAAAAGAGATCTTAATATCCCTTAGTTTCGTATGGACTCCGCTGCCACGGGAAGGTATGCCAAAAGATGTCATGCAAATTATTTTCCATAAGCACTCAGGATCTCGATTATGTTATACAATTCTACGACTTTACGATCCAAACTAACCCCTTTGATTCTACCATTTTAGTTCTCAGAATCTACATTTCTACGATCCTAGTAGTGAAAATTCTATGATTTCTGATCCTATCATAGAAGCACCGATCCGATTCAAAATTGTGATTCTGACAACCTTGCGTATAACTACTTATGAAATACATGCCTATATTACATTGATAAATTGGAGCTAGTTCTGTGTCGCCCTAGGTTATGATTGTTATATGATGAATATTATTCAACATTATCACCGATCCAATGCCTACGAGCTTTTCACATATTGTCTTTGTCAAGTTACTACCGTTGCTGCTACTCTCGCAATTGCTACAAAACTACTGCTACTACTGTCACCATTACTGTTGTTGCTATTACCACTACTTTCAAAATTATCATATTATTGTGCTACTGATCACGTTATTGCAGATATTTAGTCTCCAGGTGCGGCTGAATTAACAACTCAACTGCTAATAATTGCAAATATTCTTTGGCCCATCTTGTGTCGAATCAATAAATTTGGGTTGAATACTCTATTCTCGAAAACTGTTGCTATCCCCTATACTTGTGGGTTATCAGCCGGACTTTCATCGATTTGGCTTGGGCGAAATGATGTCAGATTTTCAGAGGACGCCGGACGTACGGACGAAGTCGATTTTCTGGCATTTTCGTATTGGACATGGTGCACCAGATTTCCGGAGGGGAGCAGACGTCCGGGCGCTAGAACATGTCGAACGTCCGGTACTTGCCGGTCGTCCAGCCGCTATAGAGTTTCTCGGCTGGCCCTTCTGGCTGGCTGATCCGCTGTGTGCCGGACATCTAGTAGCTATAGCTTGTCGGAAACTCCTTCTCTTGCTTCTCGCGCTTGGCTCCTTGTCATCTTGTCCATTATTCGTAGCAGCTCCATGGCCTTCCTCCAAATACCAGATCACACACTTTGTCTCCGCTTGAGGTAGTAGACATGTCTTACATGTGGAATGTGTAAGTTCGGAGAGGAGCGAGTTCACCTCGGTTTTCATGGCCCTTGCACGAGCTCTAGTCATCGGCCCACTTGGTGTCTTGGGAGACGAAGGTACGTCCATGGAGATGATTGTAGGATGCTCCGCGTCAGGTTGCTTGCCTTGAAGCGGCACCATCTCGCCGCCTGCATTGGATCCGGTGACTCTGCCTCTTGAATGGCCTAGAAAAGCATCTCGTGCTCCATCCCTCCCTCGTCGCCGATGGAGCGGCAGCTCTCCGCAAAGGTTGCACTGTGGATGATTTTTCCACGCAGATTTTGGCCACTTGTCACGGTTAGGGAAGCGTTCCTGCACCATCCACTTGATTATCCCCCCGCGCCTCCGTTGACGCCGCGTCGATCTCCGGCAACATCTCCATCGGAATCGACGGCTGCGACGCGGGGATCTGCCGGGGCTGCCACCCGCGACACCGGGCGTAGTCCGCCTCGCACGAGCTCCGCGGCGCGACTTCCCTGTCATCTGAGGCGTCATTTGTGGTGAGAGAAATCGGCTGGGATCGAGACTACGTACTAAGAGCAAGTATAGTAAGGTGATGTGGGCGGGCTGTAAGACTTAAAATAGTATATTGTTGCTGAGTTGGCAGAGAGAGAAGAAGAGAGAGAAGAGAAGCGGGCTACTAACTAACAGCAGGCTGTAGCACGTGCTCCTAAACACTTTGTGAGAGAGGGAGGTGGGCCATGTATCAATGAAGCACTACTTATTTGCATCTGACTATTATACTTGCCGGCTATAAGCTTGACTATAGATGATGTGATAACGTCTTATAGTCAGCGGCTAGCTGTGACGTAGGCGGGCTATAAGAGATGCCACATCAGATTTATGTCTAGGTGGAGGAGAGAGGAGAGGAGAGAGAAAAGAATCGCGCTACAAGCTTACAGCTAGCTGTAACACGAGCTCCAACACCCTTTGTGAGAAAATAAGTGAACCATACATTAATTGTATAGTACACTAGTATATCTAACTATTATATGAATGGGCTATTAAGTTGGCTAACATGGCAACTTCATATAGGCGGTTGTTGGCTGCGAGTGTACGATCTGCACACGGGGGCATCTGCACCCGCTTTTTAAAAATGTACTTTTTACGCGTTTTGTAATGTTCAAAAATTCTAAAAACAAATTATGCATACATGTTGGCAAAGGTATGTCCACGGCGCAAAGTTTTGTGTAAAAAAGTATTTTTGTTTTGTCTCAATAAAAAGACAAATTTTACTGCTTCTAGATAGCGTTTCACGGTACAAAATTTTGTCTTTTTTGCACAAGCTACAAAAAAGTTGTTTTTCTGTAAAACTTTCTGCACACACATAGAATATGGAGATGTCCGCGCACACCTTTTTTCAGAATTTTTTGACATTACAAAATGTGTTTTTCAAAATAGGTTCATATGTATCCGGATTCACACATACACTTCTCGTTGTTGGCTATACTATTAACCATCCTGCCATGCTCTAACTAGCGAGTAGATGGGGTGGGCTCGGAGGTTGGTAGGGAGCTGGAGGCCATTAATGGCGGGTAGGTTTGGGTTCGCATTGCTCTCTCCCGAGCGGCGTTCGTGGCCTGTCTTGTGTAAGTTTTATTCTATGAGCTGACCAGTCTCCACTGTTGAGGTGTTGAGGATGTCTGTATGGTCTTTTTAAATAATGAAAAAATGGATTCAGGTGGGCCTCTTGACCCGCGGTTCACGCGTCAACGCAAAAAAACGCGACGACCTCCCTCCTCTCCTTCCGGTCAGTCACCCTCCTCACCCACTGCTATTACCTCCAAAATCGAGCCTCCCTACTGCAAGAAACTCAGATCTCAAGGAGAGGCGTACGTGGCTTTAGGGACGGAGTAATGCTAACATAGAGTCATAGAGTGGTTCTGGGCAAATCCTGCAGGGGCGTTTCGTTTCGCAGGAATGCTAAACACTATGCGTGCTAGCAATCTACGAGTAGTTTGCAGTTACTATGCCCACTAAACATGATTGGAGCCGATGGCCACTGTTGTATGTCATCAATCATTGTTTTGATCACTTTTGGGATTTTTTTTCCTTTTCCCCTTCGCCTAGGCATAACTTCGGTCTTGAATGACTTTGCTATTTGCCGACGTGATACTTTGCGTGTGTGTGTGTTAGTGTTGGCTGTGTGCATCCTAATTATGCAGAGACCGGGTGTGTACTCATTACAATTGTATCGCTTGATGCTAAGTTTGAGTCAATAAAAAACACCCTTTGTCAAAAAAAAATAAAATGGCTGGTTGCCTGTATGTTATTGCCTTCTTGCTGCCGGCATCGTGCTATTGCAGAGGATGATGCATTTTATATGATCTTAATGCATATTTGAGTGTTCTTAATTGGAAAAAAGAGGAAAAAAATACAGATCTGAGTGGCCGGTAATATATATACTGAATGTAGCATTAATTATAGCATTTAGTTCTAAGAGGCCCCATCATTTGGTTGTAGTAGTGTATAACTAAGTACTAATACAATGGAAGATTTCGGAAGTTTGGTCGAAATGTCTATTTGCTGCTGAACTTATTGGTAGTAAGATGCGATATAGCTCTTTTACTTGTATAGTTGTTTTTTCAAACTTCAAAAGGCTAGTTGCCTGTTTGTTCTTGATGATGGGTGTTGGGCGTATGGGGCTGGTGAAGGTGCCGTTTTGCCTTCATTCTTCTTTGGCCAGAGAATACTTACTGTGCCAGCTGCTGTAGGCTTGATTTTTGATAATAAACAACAAAGACTTCTTTGCATATGCAGATAACAATGCATAGATCTTCAATGTCTTAACAACCTCTTGGCAACCTATTGTTACCGAGGCCGGTGCATTTTATCTCAACTTGATGCTTAATCAAGTGTTCTTTATCGAATTAAAGGAATATGCATAGATTTAGTTGCTAATAAGTGCTTTTTATCGAATTAAAGGAATATGCATAGATTTAGTTGCTAATAAGAGCTTTTTTTTTGTTACAGTAAATCAATTTCCGGAGGAGCAATGTCTGGATGTCCGATGCTGCAGCTCTGGAATGAATGGGCGACCCAAATCCTTGTCCTACTCAGCTTCACACTGCAGATTTTCCTCTTTGTCTTCGCTAGGACCCGTCGGCACGGATCCTCCGCCGTGCTGAGGATCCTCCTGTGGTTAGTGTACCTCATGGCTGACTGACTCCACCGCTGTCTACACTCGGCCATCTCTCAATCAATGGTTCGCCACGCAAGCAGAAGCTCGCGGTATTCTGGGCGCCCTTTCTCCTGGTGCATCTTGGTAGCCAGGACACCATCACCGGCTACGCCCTCGAGGACAACAAGCTCTGGCCACGCCACCTGCTAAATCTTGGCGTCCAAGCCTTTGGGGTTGCCTATGTCCTCTATAAGCACATCATGGAGATCCCCACCTCCCTGGGATTGGCTACCGGCTTGATATTCGCCATTGGTCTCATCAAGTATGCAGAAAGGATTTGGGCCCTCAAGTGCGCCACCCTGGTCAGCATCCGGAGCTCTATCAATAATCATCGGCGTCTCCCTAATTATGATGAGATTTCTCCCCAGGCATTGAGGGCAGAGGAGTGTGATGAAGAGGAGCTCCTGTTGTTTGCTCAAGCCATGCTCCCTCTTTGCAAGGGTGCTATGTCTGATTCTCCGGTGGCTTTGTTTAGTTTCAAAGTTGGAGGTACAGGGTCACTTGCATCTATATATGAATGGAAGAGCTGAAACTGGAAAGCTACGTACAAGGTGGTGGAGATGGAGCTCTCCCTCATGTAATGTATAACATCATCTACACCAAGGAAGTGGTGATCCATACTTGGTATGGTTACTTGTTCCGTCTGGTTTCACCCTTGGCCACCATCGCCGCGTTCGTCCTGTTTCAGTTAAGTGGTAATAAAAATGGTTACAACAGAGTCGATGTTGTTACCACGTACATCTTGTTGGTCGGGGCCTTCCTTCTTCTGGACATGGCATCGGTGTTGAGTACTCTGGGGTCGACCTGGGCATGTAGTTTCCTGTGGACCAGAGGCTGGAGTAATGCTGGTCTTGTCATCCTGTCTCTTCGTCGGCGTGTCAAGGCTGCCGGCAGTAGAAGGTGGTCAGGCTCAATTGGGCAGTTCAACTTGTTGCATTTCTTCTCCCCTGACACATACTCCCTCCGTTCCTAAATATAAGTCTTTTTAAAGATTCCACTACAAATTACATACGGATGTATATAGACATATTTTAGAGTGTAGATTCCTTCATTTTGCTTCGTATGTAGTCCATAGTGAAATCTCTTAAAAGACTTACATTTAGGAACGGAGGGAGTACAAGATAAGAAGCAGAGTGGCCAAGATGATGGGTCTGGAGGATTGGTGGAACAAATGGCGTTGCTCTGAGACCCTAGTGATTTCGCAGGATGTCAAGGAGTTGGTGTTCAAACATGTATGGCAACTAGTGAAGAGGATTCACCATCCAAGTGCAGAAAATGAGATTTGCGAGAATGGCATGGTGGGGCTCATGGGGATGATGCCACCTATGAATGATTTGCCAGGCTTTCGTCCTGCACTATGCAATGAAACTGCCAAGAGGCGCGAGAGATTAGACGATGCTCTCAACTTTGATGCCGAACTCCAAGAGGTGATCCTTACCTGGCGCGTCTTCACAAATGTTTTCCTCTTGTCCATCGACACACCCAAGGATGCGGCATCATCCACTTATCTGAAGGCTGTCAAGGCCCTGTCAGATTACATGGTATTCCTCGTAGCGGTACGTCCTGACATGATACCCGGTCTTGAACTACGCAGCATGTACGAATCAGCCGTCGAAGATTTGAGGTGCATATGTTGTCCATGGGGTAGCCACACTTCTTCCACAGATAGCGTGAAGAGGCTTCTCAGCATCATGCAAGACCGCACGCACGAGGATATGGGAGAGGCGTGCGTCACTCTCTGGCATGGGACTTTATATGCCAAGCTGATGCTGGAACTTGTAGATGCAGGCAGCGCTGATAAGCCTGGCATCATATCTTGTTACGAGGATCGTGATCATGTCGCCATGGAGAAACTGGAGCGCCTGATGCCAGATCTGGAACACTCATGCAACGGAGCCGGAGGTGGTGTGTTTGATATGCCGAAGGCGTTGGCGCTCATCTTGGATGCATGGGTGCGTCTTCTCGTCTTTGCTTCCGTCCAGTGCAGCAGGGATGCCCATGCCAGCCAGATAAACCGCGGCGGGGAGCTTATGACCGTTGTGTGGCTCATGGAAGAACACGCCAACGTGTTTTTCAAGCAGCCCACTCCTGGTGGTATTGAATCTTTTCTGCTTCAGGCCCTCTGTTAAGAGAGATGCTCTAGTTGTTGTTGTTGTTGTTGTTGTTGTTGTTGTTGTTTCCTTCTTCTTTTTCCAATATTAGTGCCAGTCGCCGATGCTGGGGGAGTTTGATCTTTATGTTAGGGCTTGATCCTTTTGAAACCTATTATCTATTATGTTATTGTAATGATAGTTGAGCCCGGTCCCTTTCGGGAGCCGTGTGGGAAATAATATTCTTTTGCGACCTGCCATGACACAAATTTATGTACTGTTTTAGTTCCCCCTTTTATTGTTTGTGAATTGTGACTAGCTCTGCTGCTGCTTGGCCCTCTGTGTGCACATCAACTTGAAAAACTGCAATTCATGTGAAGGTTGGAAAGGCGTGTTGATGTGAGGAGCTTCAGTTTTGGCCCGGGCATCTGGGCAAGCAGATGGAGTACAACTGCCAGTTTCAATGAAGAAAAGTGCCGCACGCACTAGCTTACTTATATCAACGTGATAAAGAGTCACAAGAGAGACAAGGAAAAACAGCATCCAGAGAAGCAATCACCATGATTTGCAAGTCTACACGCAGACTTGCAAGCTCGCTGCCCACATCAGGGGTCAACGACGAAATGCAGCTCTCCGCGACCGGATGAAACTTCAACACCTGCACCAGTATCTCACAAGGCAAACACAAAGAAGTTACATAGGGCCGCGACACAACCAAGCATAGGGCTTGCTGTCCGCTAGAGAAATGTGTAGAGTTTCAGTTTCAGAGTTTTCGAGCTCGGTGTCTCCTGATTTTAGGCCACTAATCGTCATTGTTCCGCTCGCCTAGCTTGAGCATATCCGGTTTCCAATGCGGCAGGTAAAAGTAGCCAAGAGATCACAGCTTTCACAGCAACTCTTTATTGAACTGAAGATAGGACAATCTATTTTCAGAGCCCTAATAAAGTAACCACAACAGGTTCTGAGCTGAAGGTATAGATGGTCTAATTTCTTTGGGCATTAGTTAATCATCCGACCTACTGAGCTGAAGTTACACAATAGTGAAGCCAGTTTCAGGGCATTTTTTACTTTTGTAAGTATCTTATTATTATCTGGTCCTTGATAACAAAACAAAGTTCTCCTTCATTCAAAACATAATTTACCGAGGTCCAAGGAGATTCATAACCTGATTTGAAATATAACAACATCAGGATTGTTTCTTTCAGACCTAGGACAAACTATGCAGGGGAAAGTCTGTGCAAATTATAAGTTGTCAAGCAGATCCTCAAGTGCATTGGAACACAATGAAAGAACCACAGTGGATGATCAACTTATGAAGATGAGCTAATGCATCCTCCACTGCCTCTCTGTATGTGGTCTACAAGAAAGATATCAACAGCATTAGTTAAAATCCTGTTTAGAAAAGCAAAATCATGTTCAGATGCAGTGCTAAGAAAAAGGAAGATAACAATCTGCGCAGCACAATGTCAATTACATTACCTCGCCCCTCCGAAAGAGAGGGATGATGTCATCTTCCACCTCCGATTCAAAATCTACAGAAACCAAGCCCTGTAAGCACACTGACTGACGGAGGTTCAGTCCAGGTCCAGGTTAAGGTTCAGGTTTAGAGCACGACGCCTCAGAGGTCTACATCAGCTGATTGCCCACGAGGACAGGGTTGACGACGAACCAGATGCAGCTCGAGGCATCTCTCCACGATCAGATGAAACTTGGATGCCCACATCTGCATCCCACAAGGCAAACACAAAGAAAGAATATTGAGATGGAGCTTGGTTAGACATCCGCAACACAATCGAGCATAATGTGCTTGCTGTACGTTCTTGCTGTCAGCTACAGCAATGGGTAGAGCATAGTGTCTCCCGATCTTACCTACTAATCATCATCACCCTTCTGTGAGCCTAGCTTGAGGTTCTGGTTTTGCAATGCACTAGGTACAGGTAACTAAGATGAGAGATCCCAGTTTACTGAGCTAAAGTCATGGCTGAATGTTCAAAATTCAGAGCAATTGTTTTCAGAGCCCCAGGAAAGTAACCGAAATAGGTTCTGAGCTGTAGGTGTAAATTATCTAATTTCGTTGGGTAAGAATGATCCAGCTTACTGAACTGAAGTGGCACAAAAGTGAAGCAAGTTTTCTGAGCATTTTTTTTTTACTTTTGCTAATATCTTACTATTGTCTTGTCCTGATGAAAAACAAATTTCCCCTTAATTCAAACAGAATTGACTGATGTTAGCATAATCTTGATTATAGCTTAATTAATTAGTTAGTGCTAGTTAGGTGCAAGTTTGCTGGCTGCCATGTAGACGCGTAGTAGTAGTGCTGCTTGGCTTGCATGTTGTGGCTACGTGAATCTTGTACTAGCTAGTAGAGTCCGGCTAGGATTAGTACGTGAATCATGTAGCAGTAGTTTAAGTCGATTCAAAGTCCAAGTAGGTATTGTAGAAATTATATGAGATGGCTAATAATGTGTTATATTGAACCGACCCTCGTATGGGGTATATATAGAAGTACATGAGGGATAGAGGTTTGGAGTACAAGGCAAGATATTATGTGTTTAAACTAAGTTTATCTCTATCTCTCCTTATCTCTACGTTTATACTTCTAACATTCCCCCTCAGTCGTAGCGGGAGTGAAACGGATGATTACGACTGAATTCGAAGTCTTGCGCTTCCGTTTTCTCCGCTGCGCCATCATCACTACGTTTCTGATGGGTCGACACCTAGGGCGGTGACTGTGTCCCCTTCTGGTGCCTTCCTTGTCTCTCCTCTATTCCCTCCCGCAGTCACAGCGGGAGTGGCGTGGATGCTGGTGACGACGCGAACGCTGTTGACTGGAGTTGTCGCCGATGTGTTGTTGTTGTAGACGTAGCCCTGTATGTCGATGTCGATGTAGCCGATCATGATGTAGCCGTGGTCGAGGTAGTCGTGGTCGATGATGTAGTCGTCGTGGATGATGAAACCGCACAAAGCCGGAGGCGCAAAAAAAAATGCGCTGTGACGGAGCTGCAGACGTGGACGATGCACCTTACGGATGTCAGAGGGTGTCATCGGCGATGAGTCCACCGGTTTGCCAAGACCGAAGGAAGCCCATCGAGCACACATCGGTTTTGCCAGAACCATGTGGCCGTGTAGGGTCGTCACTGTAGTGACGCCATGTCGATGCAATCGTGCCGTCGTGGATGACGCGGTCGATGCCGTCGTCGAGGTCGCGTCTTGCAGAAAAGTCTGTCAGATGACGCTAGGTGTCCATCTTGTGGACAAGGCACTGGCGGTGTGTTGACGAAGATGTTGATGAAGACCTTGGCAACGAAGTGTCGATGATGGGGTTGCAGCGGCGTGTCGACGACGATGCGCCGCGTTGGAGGCGTCCCTCGCGGCGACCAAGTGTCGATGCCGTGTCGCGTCGAAGAAGTCGATGAAGAATTGCATCGGCTGGATGATGCATATTGCAGTGCTTCCCTTGGATATACTCGACGAAGTTTGTTTCTTTTCTTTGGCGATGTAGTCGTATAACTTGATGAAGATAGCAGGCCGTCACCTAGAAGATCGATGGAATCGGCCTGGTGCAGAATTGCAGATCACGTCAGTGGCCATGCAAGACCTGTGGGCTCTCCCGGTGTCAAGTACTGCGAGCCGGCTCGGTGAAGATGTTAACCACGTGCGGTGCTGCCAGTCGTGTGTCGCCGGATCGAAGCCGTCCAGAGTTGCGCCCGTGCCGAAGATGCCGCGAGACGGTGCTCTGAGTCGATGCGTGATGATGTGGACGGATCGATATTGTTTTCTGTGTTGTTGCAGGCTTGCAGCCGTACGCGTGCGGCTGTAGGCGCACGCCAGCGCCCCGACGGAGCCGCTGCCCTATTTGCCAGCTCGTTCGGCCGGCTGGGGCTGCTCCCGTCTAGCGTCCGCGGGGACGCGTTGTGTGAAGGCCCATGTAACACGTTGCTGCCGCCGGAGACGCTGGATCCCGCGTGAGTCGATCGATTCGGTCCTGTGCGCGAGGTCGCCTGCCGGCCCGCCGGGATTGGAGCCGGTGCCCGCTGGATTCTATGTAGCCGTGCTTGGGAGATCGCCCTCCCGTGATCCGGACTTCCGTGGGGAGCGGCGTGGTGCTTGGTGCAGATGCAGACTAGGCTTGACGTCCATGAAGACCGCATCGAAGCCGGCGGTGCTTTACTTCGCCGCTTGCTATCAGCGTCGAAGTTGCTGCACCCCGGATGGGGATGACCCGTAGTTCCACGCCGCCAAAGATAGATCTCTACTGTTTTTCACCGGATAGAGGGTCATGAAGATCTGAGAATTTATTTTGTGGCTAAAGAAAACCTAATCTAAAAGATTTCAAAATTTGGAATTGATCTAATCTAAAGGAGTTGTTCTAATCTACGGGTCGATCGAGTGCTGCGCCCCCGGGGAGAGAAAATTAATCTCCCCGGGGGCGGCGCGCTGCGGAAGTGATGAAGGAACCTAGGATCGGCGTCGGGAGACTAACCTGGCTCTGATACTATGTAGAAATTATATGAGATGGCTAATAATGTGTTATATTGAACCGACCCTCGTATGGGGTATATATAGAAGTACATGAGGGGTAGAGGTTTGGAGTACAACGCAAGATATTATGTGTTTAAACTAAGTTTATCTCTACGTTTATACTTCTAACAGGTATCCGAGTAGGATTAGGAAAAGTTGGATGTGAGGGCTTGGCTGAACGTGTATATATATACACTGGCAGACCATGGTTATTGTAACACCGTGGCGAGAAAACAGAAAATAAAGAGAATCAAAGGGCACGACAAGAGCCCTTGGCTATCAGTTTTCGTGTGTGCGTGCTCGTCCTGATTTGATGTGATTGATCCTGAGGACAAAGTTCCAACAACCGACTCCCAGATTTACATGGATGCAAGCACAGAAACCTTGCATCCTTGTACGCCATGCTCTCCTTAAATAATTTGAAGTCGTCAACTGCAGGAAAAAAGAAAAAGGTAGTAGTAATCAGCCCTGGTGATTAGTGAACATGTCCACCATCTACCTTTGCTCTACAATCTACATTTAGGGATTTGATTTTAGCTAACTAATCATCACCATTATTCTGTGAGCCTGGCCTAGCTTGAGCTTGAGCTTCAGGTTTTGCAGTGCAGTAGGTAGAGGTAACAAAGATGAGTGATCCCAGTTTTCAGAGCCATTGTTTACTCAATTGAAGGTATGACTGAATGATTCAGTTTCAGAGGAATTATTTTCAGAACCCCAATAAAGTAACCACAACAAGTTCTAGTGTATCAAACTATGATGATCAAGTAATTTACCTCAATGTTGCTATTACTTAAATGACCATATGTTTCACGTCAGACAAGATAAGTACTAGATAGCAATGATCAGTAAAAGATGCAGTATATACTATAGGCAAGTGTTCGCTGTTGAAAAAACCACTTAACAAATAATCACCTGAAAGACAAAGTGACGGTTATATTCTGCTCTGGCTAAGGCTGACGGAGTGACGGTTCCAGATATGTTACTTCTATCCGTGTGCTCTTGTATTTTCTCCAAATCGGACGAAGGAGATGTGGCATATATGTTCATGTAGCGTTATGTTGACCTGCGATTCTGCAAGGGACATGGCATAAGCAAATGCAAGCATAAATTTCTCACAGAAGTGACAAGTATTGATCATTGCTACATTACATTTCTGATACAGGAACAGTCAATGAATAGAGCAAGAAAAGAGATGTATTGGTTCAATATAACGAACCTCATTTTCTTTTCAAGTGCAATCATACTATCCAGTGACACAATTGTCATCATTCAGAATTTGGACAGTGAAATAAGCAACTGAGGTACCTTCTCAGCAATTATCTCCTCGAGCAACTTCCCCTATTTCAGAACCTTACAACAAGATTAAAAAAGCATGTTAGCAGGATGTTACCAATACAAGCTAGCAAGAGAAGTATTTTGTTTTTTACTCTAGTAACTGAATGGGAATACATGGTAAGAAACTAAAGAAACTCACAGATGGCATAAGTAAATTACTTCACTTCCTCCAGGGATTCGACATTTTTCCTGCAACACAATAATTGCTGCAGACATGCAACAATGTTCAGTTCATGGCCAACCAAAATATACAGACAAAGTTAAGAAACAAGCCCAACCTTTTCAAGATCATTATTTGGAACATCAAACCCCGGTGTACACATAGTGATAATGTCCTTAAGTTTAAGCCTTCTTCCACATTGACGGCACTAGCAAACAATAAATTGGGGGCTGCCATAGTATTTTTTTCAAATAAAGATGAACCGGCTTAAATTAGTTAGCAACAATAAACCATATGGCTAAATGTTGATCTTTCTCCAAAATAAACTTCCTCCATGTCAACTCAATGTTTAAACACAGATAAGCCACAGCTCCTAAATATAAGCATTAAAGATAGCATAGGTACTACAATGATTAGGCTACATTCTACATCTACCCCATGGCCGACTTGACAAAATTCAAGATTCTGACGTAGTCGTAGAACAAAGCTGAGTGCTTGCCCTCCAAGCCATCACGGTGGTGTCGGTTGCTTCCGGCAAGATTGTTACATGGGCTGCCCCCAATCACCAAGTCGAAGCCACCAAATCTACTAACAAATGATGCAACTCTTTCGTCTGTGAGAGATTTCACATCAGGAATCTCAATCAGCGTGCCTGTCTGGGTTTGATCCCACCAACCCCTCAAAATCCTCCTGTTAGCTTCACCTATCTCAACAGAAACCACTACCCTCATGTGGATCCCAAGCTTGTGCAGAGCTACCTCTCCTCCTCCAATACCGGTGAATAAGGACAGCACACGAACACCATTGGGAAACATGCGCCTCAGCACTGACAGGTGGTAAGCAACTGTGTCAACTTGAAATGAGTTGCCGAGAGACTTGTATCGATGTGTCTTGCCAACTCCCCTTGTGTGGTCCTTTGGGAAACCAAGTAGAAATTCCATCTCATGAGGCTCCAAGGGGGCAACCTTGTTTTTCCCAACCCAGACAAGATTCCATTTTTTGCACTCGTCCATGACATCTTTCTGAACGCTTTTTGGCGGCGGATTGCTTGAGCTTACAAGAGCACGCTGGATCCATTTTGTCAGCTTTGCACTTGCTACACATGTTTGTAAGCAATTGAGATGTGTTCTCGTGTCCCAGGAAGGCCACCACTTCTGGTAATGAGGGAATGCCTCAAATATGGTCTTTGGGGGCAAAGGAAGAAGAGGCGATCTGTTCTCAATTGGCAAGTTGTGGATGCAGCCCCTTTTCCTTGCAGCTGCACACAGATGAAGAGAATCCACAAACTCTGGCTGAATGTCAAACAGGTTTCTTGAAATTTTTGCCCATTCACCTTTTGGAGCTCGGGCCACATTTTCATAATAGAAATAAGGTGGTCCGATATCTAGTTTAGAAAGCATTCGGGTCAATGATGGTCCCCTGTAACCAGGCAGGTTAAATCCAACCATTGGATTTGGGAGAGGCATTGATTCCTCATCGCTGCCATCCAAGGAAGGTCGATTGCCTTGTCCTCCACCCCCATATCTCTTCCTCTTTTTCCTGCTCTCTTCCATCAATATTGCTTTCTTTCTGCCTCCAAAGGAGTTGAAGCATCTATCTGTAACCTGCCAAATGTACACAGATTCCAGTGTCCTTACATCAAATTAAAAGAGCGAAACTGATTTATTATTCAATTGTACGTCAAACCACGAGATACCCGATTGTCAGACAAGTTTCTAGAATGACAATCTTCTGCGACCTATGATGCTCCAATTGAATCAACTAATACACAGATATCAACATCCACACCTAGGAGAATTCAGACAGAAATATATAGCATAAGGTAATTTTTCGATGAAAGAATGACCATCAAGGCAACAATTTCAAAAAGAGGCATACCACATCTTATAATAGCCCTATTTGCTTCATCTTCAGAAAAGCCCATGTTTACTAATGAGTTGATCTTCTCATCCCTCTCTGACATCTCTCGCATAAAATCCTGCACAAAAGTACCAAAAAAACCGAGATTAGAAAATATTTGCTATATCTCACTGACTTCTTAATGCCAAACTAAGCGATTGCTGATAGAGAATAAACAAAACATATAGGTAAAGTTCTTCATATAATAGCACTCTGTGCTGGATGCATAGCAATGGTGAAACACAATCATCTGGTCACTCCATGCTGCTTTCGTGACAAAATTTTAAATACTGATGGATGGATGGTGAGGCAAATGCATGCATCTTCAGGAGAAGATGATGATATTCACATCCCATCCTATTTCAGATTCATCGCTTTGCTAGCAATCAAGATGTTTTTTTGCTGAGCAGGTGTAGTAGATATCACACACTCCATATTGTTTCCCTACTTGTTGTTTTTAGTCTTTACATATATCTTGCCATGAATAGGTTTAAACCACATAATAATTTTTCTTCATAATTTTATTTGTGTAACCAGTACAAAAATCGGCTATCATATCATATAGAACATTATGAGATTTCTAAATTAGTTACTTTGTGTATGCATTTCTAGCTGAACAGTAATGGATTGAATCCCTCATTTTTCTCAGCTCTAATATGGCAAGTATTGGAGGGCAGTTTCATGCAACTAATATGGCAAGTGATGTTCTTTTCCAGTATTATGATCATTTTGCGTAGCTGAAAGTCAAAAGAAGAATCTTGAACTATGCCATTTAATTCTTGAAGATCTTGTTCGTCCTAACCTGTATGCTAGTTCTCAACACTCCTTTATGGAGAAGTGATTCTTGCGCAGCACAAATTTTACAACAGTGCAAGATCGGATTATTTAGGTCCAGCCATATTCTTGCTTCTTTCTTTAGTATTCAGCATTGAAGTTTAGCTTCTATTTCTTCCAAACTCTTCTGAGCTCAGTATGATTGCACACTATATCTTGGACTACAAAATAATTCAGAAAGAAGTGACATGGTTTGAACTAAAACCGCGTCACTTGTTTCCGAACGAAGGTAATAAATCAAAAAGTATAACCGGTGCATGAATTTGGATTTCTGCAGGTTAAGGTGACTGTAGTATGTGTAATATCGTCTCTTGGTTAAAGCACCTGTAATATAATTTGCTTGTACCAACATAACTCCACAAGTCGCAGGCCTCGTTACTAATATTCAAATGAATAAGAACTGAAGAGAAAACGAGAGGTGTGTAGCAAAAATAAATTTTCTGATCATGAAAACCACAAACAAGCAGAGAACAACAAATCACTCTGCGGGACATATATATTGTCTAACGTTATTCAACTCACTCCTTATATTATGCTCTTAAACGACAAAATTTTAACATGGTGAAAATTCTGTGTAAAAAAGAATCAAGTGCTCAAACTACACTGATGAAATCTCAAAACAGTAAGTAACAGGGGTGTTCAAGGTGTGCATGGCAAAGATTTCACATATATCAGCATATGATCAAAGAATTCTTGGCTACTGAACTGAAGATAAGTAATCATCTACCTCAGAGGAATCTTTTGGAATAGCAGAGGTCTTAAGGACTTTGCTAAAAGGAGGTTCCTTGTAGAAGCATCCATCGAGCATAGATTGGATTTCATTGCATTGTCGGAAACGGGCAGAGCAAATTTCTCACCACAATTTCTCAATACTTTATCGGGGGGTATTGAGTTTGACTGGCATTGTCTTCCACCGAGAGGAAGGTTGGGTGGAATCTTACTTGGTGTTAGATGTGACTCTCTCGAAGTTCGAAGTGTGATCATGGGAGATTTTGCTGTTAAGTTTAGGGTGCGGTCCAAAGCTGATGGTTTCGACTGGGCTTTGGTGGCGGTGTATGGTGCCGCGCAGGCTGAACTCAAACCCGATTTTTTGGCCGATCTCGTTAGAGTTTGCGGGTCTGAGCAACTTCCAATTCTAGTTGGGGGAGACTTTAACATTATTAGAAGACGTGATGAAAAGAATAATGATAATTTCGACGGGAGATGGTCATTTATGTTTAACACTATCATTGAAAGCTTGGATTTGAGAGAGATTGAGCTTTCAGGTAGGAAGTTCACTTGGGCTAACGCATTGCCTAATCCAACTTTCGAGAAGTTGGATCGGGTTTTGGCTAGTGTCAATTGGGAACAGAAGTTCCCTGTGTAACTGTTCAGGCTCTCTCTCGCGGGATTTCTGATCACACGCCTCTGTTGCTTGATTCCGGTGGGGCTACCTACTCGGGCAACAAGAATTTGTTCTCTTTTGAGCTTGTGTGGTTTGAAAGAGAAGGATTCCTGGATCTTGTAGCCAGAGAATGGGCTAAGGAGGCAGGCGGCAGGAATGCGCTTGAGCGATGGCAGAATAAGATTAGGCATCTCAGAAGTTTCCTACGTGGGTGGGCTAAACATCTAAGTGGAGTGTATAAGGTGGAGAAGGAACGGCTCCTTACCCTTGTTCACACCCTAGATATAAAAGCAGAAACTACGATGTTGTTACCCACCGAGCTTCATATCAAGCATGAGGCTGAGATGAGGTTGAAAGAGTTACTTCGTGAAGAAGAACTAAAGTGGGCACTGCGTGCCAAGGTGCGAAAAGTGGTCCAGGGGGACGCGAACACTCAGTTCTTCCACATGATAGCCAACGGCAAACATCGGAAGAAGAGAATCTTCCAGCTAGAACAAGATGAGGGTACAATTATCGGTCAAGATAACCTGAAGCTATATATTACTGAGTACTACAAACGTTTGTTTGGACCACCAGAGGAGAACTGTGTGTCCCTGGATGAGTCTAGGGTCCAAGATGTACCTCAACTTACTGTTGTGGAGAACGATATCTTAACTGCATCTTTCTCGGAAAAGGAGGTTTTCGAGGCCATTTCCAAGATGAAATGTAACAAGGCGCCGGGGCCGGATGGTTTCCCGGCGGAGTTTTACAAGAAGTGCTGGAATATTATTAAAGGTGACCTCATGCCGATGTTCCATGATTTTTTCTCGGGACATTTGCAGCTTTTCCAACTTAATTTTGGATCAATAACCCTTCTGCCTAAGAAAACAGAGGCCATGAGAATCGAGCAATTTCGGCCTATATGTCTTCTGAATGTCAGTTTAAATTTTTTTACCAAAGTTGGGACCATCAGGCTCACACAAATTGCGCATACCGTGGTGCAGCCTTCTCAAATGTCCTTCATGCCGGACAGGAACATCCTGGAAGGGGTTGTGGTTCTTCATGAAACGCTGCATGAAATTCATACGAAAAAACTAGATGGTGTCCTTTTCAAAGTGGATTTCGAGAAGGCTTATGATAAAGTCAAATGGCAGTTTCTTCAACAGGCTTTACGAATGAAGGGCTTCGATGAAACTTGGTGTCGCTAGGTGGAAACATTCACGCAAAAAGGGAGTGTTGGAATTAAAGTAAATGACGACATAGGTCATTACTTCCAAACTCATAAGGGATTGAGACAGGGCGACCCTATGTCACCTATTCTGTTCAATATTGTGGTTGATATGTTAGCAATCCTGATTGGGAGGGCCAAGGAGGCCGGTCAGGTGGAGGGATTGGTGCCTCATCTAGTTGATGGTGGTTTGTCCATCCTGCAATACGCTGACGATACAATCATATTCATGGAACATGATTTGGAAAAAGCGCGGAACATGAAGTTGTTGGGTTACGTAGTAATTTCAAAAAATTTCCTACGCACACGCAAGATCATGTGATGCATAGCAACGAGGGGAGAGTATTGTCTACGTACCCAACGCAGACCGACTGCGGAAGCGATGACACGACGTAGAGGAAGTAGTCGTACGTCTTCTCGATCCAACCGATCAAGCACCGAATCTACGGCACCTCCGAGTTCGACCACACGTTCAGCTCGATGACGATCCCCGGACTCCGATCCAGCAAAGTGTCGGGGAAGAGTTTCGTCAGCATGACGGCGTGGTGACGATCTTGATGAACTACAGCAGCAGGGCTTCGCCTAAACTCCACTACAGTATTATCGAGGAATATGGTGGCAGGGGGCACCGCACACGGCTAAGGAATCGATCACGTGGATCAACTTGTGTCAACTTGTGTGTTTAGAGGTGCCCCTGCCTCCGTATATAAAGGAGGAGAGGAGGGGAGGCTGGCCGGCCAAGGGGGGGAGGCGCAGGAGAGTCCTACTCCCTCTGGGAGTAGGATTCCCCCTCCAATCCTAGTCCAACTAGGATTCCTCGGAGGGGAAAAGAGGAGGAGGGGGCCGGCCACCTCTCCTAGTCCTAATAGGACTAGGGGAAGGGGGGGTGCGCAACCCAACTAGGGCAGCCCCTTCTCTTTTCCACTAAGGCCCACTATGGCCCAAATAGCTCCCGGGGGGTTCCGGTAACCCTCCCGGTATTCCGGTAAAATCCCGATTTCACCCGAAACACTTCCGATATCCAAATATAGGCTTCCAATATATCAATCTTTACGTCTCGACCATTTCGAGACTCCTCATCATGTCCGTGATCACATCCGGGACTCCGAACAACCTTCGGTACATCAAAATGCATAAACTCATAATATAACTGTCATCGTAACCTTAAGCGTGCGGACCCTACGGGTTCGAGAACAATGTAGACATGACCGAGACACGTCTCCGGTCAA